GGAATGAGTCTTCAGAAGTGCCAGGAGTATACAGATTAGTTAATGAAACGGTCCACCTGTAGATGTGCATTCTTCTAGTTACCATACTGAACTCAGTAATTGGCTCCGACAGGTCTTGTTCTTGTTTGACCATTGAGAACTGATCTCAAATGTGAGTAGTACCGCACAGCACAAGTAGTCCGGTTGTGAAAGTTTTTAACCGAGTCCTAAACTCGGACTCTAGTGTTGAGATGAAGAAGGTGCAAAGCCCGCAACAAACTAGCAAAGATGGGATGCTATATTCTGTAAATGGAAAATAAAAAACAGTCTGATCAGCTGCCCGGTGGCCGGTTCGGTGGCATGCTTGTATTTTGCCTTCGGGGTCCCGGATTCGATTCCAAGAAGGGTCGATGCATTCGCACTGCTAATGAGGCAAAACCAGATCGAATCATCTATACAGTCCTTTTAAGCTTTTTAGTTCACGTTTCATTTCATTTCTATTCACGACGAATTCCTTCCATGAAATTATTGTGTCGTTTCGTATAGAACCAGAAATTTCGATCTTTCCGATAATCTATTTCAAAATATTCCCTTGAATAGAACCATTCAGGGTCAATCACAAGTTTGTACAATTTATGATTATTATTATTACCATTATCGTTCAATTTTAGGACACCATCGAATTCGATTTGGATATTCACGACAGTGATGCAGACAGTGATCAACCGATTGCACGATTCAACCGAAAGATTGCCATCACTAAAATTGGTGATATCGAACTTCGACTCGGAGTAGATGTCCGGTAATTAATTTATTCAAATTATTCAATGTAAAGTAAATCTTATTCATGGTTTCTTATTTAATCATCATTTTCTTTTGCTGATCCTGGTGAGGACTTTTTATTTGCCCATCTTTACCCTGATGTCAGGTGTCTTTTTGCGGTCAACCCACATACACATCCAGTTTTTGTCAGTCACATGTTACAGCTTATGTACGTCGGAATATCGATTACTACTAAAAATAAACCAGTGGTGTTCTACTTGGAAGTGTCTAACAGGAAATTATCTTGAGTGAAATGTTTCGTATACACCCACATGTTTATACAAAGCTGAACGCTTTGGGGTTTAAGAAAATTTGTCCATTGCATGCGCTAGATCTGATTGAAAAACGCAGCAGTTCTAATGGAATTCAATAAAATTTCTATTAATTTGCATCCGTACTCGAGCGATAACTTCAATTTTATATCATGTTGATACTGAGAATGAACTGAGCCGGAATGCTACAGAAGGTAAACACAAGCATTCGCTAAACAGTTACAATCCGTATTATTTCTGGTCAAATGCAGTGCAGACTCCACTGAAACACTGAACTGTCTGTTGTCGACGGTATGCTATAAAATCTCTGACAAAATATTGCGGGTGGCAAATAAGCTCGTTTTCGATAACTTTTTTCTGTTGGCTTTGGAAGGCAAAATTAGCCCAAGATCATCTGAGATATTAATTTTATCTTTCCCAAAAAAACAATTGCTTTTTTTGTTGAGTACTGATACATATGTAAACGTCGTGATATTTATTGTAATGTATTGGTATGACTACGAATCACTGAAAACGGGCTTGTTCGCCATCGTTTGTTCTATTTGAAATGTGCTCTGCGAGGCCGTTTATATA